CATCAAAATCTGAAACAAAAGGTCTTTGATCGACATGTAATAAAATAGGTTAAAGTAAGTGAACACAACAGTGAACAGAAAGCTGTTGTTATATGCTTAATAAAGAATGCATAGAATCACTTAGGAAACTGAATCCTAGGTATTTTTTAAGAAAGAAATGAGGGAATGAAAAATAAAGATTTATTTAAGAGTTAGTCATAAAATAACAGCAGATTCATTTCAATTTTCAAACTATTTTACCTTAAAGGGTTGGTAAGACAGGCAACTTTCAAAGGAATTAATCATTTAGCCTGAAGTATACAATAAGAAGAATAACGGTGTAGCTATGCACGTGGGTGTGGGTGTGGGTGTGTCGACATGAATGTGGGAGAGAAAGGGACTGAGAGACAGAGAGAGAAAATGAGAAATAGGAATTACTATAACCTTCTGTATTAGTCTGTTTCCTGTTGCCATAACAAAATGCCTGAGTCTAGATACTTTACAAAACGAGGTTTATTGAGCTCATACTTTTGAAAATTCAAGAGCATGGTGCCAATGTCTGCTAAGGGGAATGCTGGTGAACTGGGGAGAGCCTTGTGGCAGACAGTATCACAGTGGTAGCAAGTACAAGGAAAGATCACATTAAAAGACAGAAAGCCAAAGACCAAGGAGGTCCTAATGTTGTCCTTTTTATAACAACTCACATGATTGGAACTAAATCACTCCACAGATGAGCATTAATGCCTTCTGAATGCAGCACTTGCAATGATACAATTGCATCACACTAGACAATTCCACCACCACACTAGGGACCCATCCTTCAGCACACAAACCCTTGGAGAACAAGTCACATTTGACACTCAACACCACAGCACTGCCCCGGTATTGGCATATGTAACAAAATGCAGTAAAAAAGATGCAACGTCAATTTCTATGTCACTGGCTTCTTAGCAGCATAATCTCTGTGTAAGAGCAACATGAGTAGTAGCCATCGCTCTAAAAGGTCAGACCAAATGCTTCTAATATCAGACCGTGTGGGCAGCCTGATGTGGAAGGAAATGAAAAAGAAATTGCCTTTTTCTTCCAGCAGTTCAGAAGTAATTCTCAGTCTTATTGAAGCAAGGCTCTACCTTCATCTGGAAGACTTACTATTTAAAATTCTAACTGTATAAAAGAAAAATATGTACTCAAGCCCATGGACACCAGGACATGGAGGTATTCTGATGTATTGTTCTTCAGCTCTTACTCTTTCAAAACTTTCCAGGCTCTCCTCAGTGTCTTAGGATACAAGGCAAGTTATGCTTCCATGGTTATCCCAGACTCATTGTGAGCCCGTTTCCTGTTGCTGTAATAAAATACCTGAGTCTAAGTACTTTATAAAAATAGGTTTCTTTACCTCATACTTTCGAAAATTCAAGAGCCTGATGCCAGTACAGTATCTGCTGAGGGTGATGCTGGTGATCAGGGGAGGGGCGCCAGCTGATGGGGAACCTTTATCACCTCCCCCAACTACAGAGTGGGGAGTCTCCTATAATCTCTCATAGTACGGGGTCTATCTCCACAGCTGGTACTTATACAGTGGCATGATTCCTCTTTGTTTGTTTAATCTCTCACTGGACTATAAGGACTCAGAATAAAAGCAATATCCAACTTGTTTTTGAATCCTTACCTGCTAAAATCATACCTAGACTATAACAAGATACTTAAAGAACTAATAAAGGAATAAGTAAATGCCTGCATTAACAAAAACAAATATAGTATTCACACCTGTGTTTTTAAAATCTAAGAAAAAGACAGAAATGTGACAGAGAGGACAAAGCCTTTTCCCCTAGATATTTTAGAAAGCTCTACAAAGTACATGTATTCACAAAGAAACTAAGATGATTGAAATCTGGTGCTTATCTTTATCCTCACCATCACCAATATAATAATGTCTTTACCACTAATGAAAAAAAAATCTGCATGCATTTTGATTTTCTAACACATATCTTACAACTCAATTTGTCATCTTCAACTGAAGATACTACTAGGAATTCAATCATAACTGTTTAAAACTAGGAAAGATCAGTCCCTTTAAACACTTTGATAGAACATTGTATTTTTAGCAAATATGTACCATAGTTTAAAAACCTAGATGTTTTTTTAAAAAGAAAAAAACTCCAAAACATGATCACATATATGTACTGTACTGAGGATTATACTGAAATATTAAGTTCCCAACCATTTCCTAAGCATCTGCAGGAACAATGTGAATTTCTATCAATAAGACTGTAATTTAATTTTTCCAGGGAAATATTTTTAATAGGATTACTGATCCTTTTAACACTCTCGAAAACAAAGCGAATCCCATAAGCATCCTGGCATGTAACTATTATAAAAATAAACAGAACAGTCAATCAATAGAAATGGTAATGGTCCTGAGAAAACAAACTTACTAAGGAAACGTATGTAAGTATGCACAGTGATAAACACTTTATCAGAGAAAATCAGGAAAACAACCAAACACAGTGAGACAAATGAAGGGCCTGGAAAACAAGGGGTAGGGGACGTGATGGGAATTTTGAAGGAGGAACCTTAATGTTTTTCTCAAACAGACCTGACTATATTAACTGAGATCAAATCTCTAAGCTATCACTCACTCTTAGTTCTGTCCCTAAGAACTGTTTGGTTTTTCAGATGATACTGAAATGTTTCAGAGGAAAAGAGGACACTCCTGATTTAAGGCATATTTTTGTACTCACAACTCTTTATGCTTTAAGAGGAATTTTTTTCAGGTCATTAGTTTATAATGTGAACTGGCGCCTAGGGACATTTTGAAAGGGAAAAACAATTTGTGTGCTTTTGGAGATACAGTTTATGTGACTCGCGTCATCATTTATTTCAGCTCAGTTTGGGGCCCTAAGCTGAACTCAAAATGAAATCACTACATCTGCAACAGTTTTCACTCTGTATGCAATGATTATACCAGAATCTGAAACCAGACTACCCTCTTTGTCCCCAAAACAAATACAGCAGGACCCCTTAAAATATCAAACTCCCGGCCAAAAGTTTTTATTATTCCAGGGTACAAAAATAAAATCAGCCATACACGTAATTTCCAAAGTAATTTGGATTTTCAGAATGATGCTCACACACCAAAATTCATTATTTCTGACAGCTTTATCTTCGTTTGGGTCCAGAAAACAGGAACTTGATCATTACATTCAGAAAAAGCAAGCATCTTCCATAAACTAAAAGATGATTTTTGTACGCTCAATTAATTTGACCTACCTATCATATCAAAGCAGATCATTCATGGACAGTTTCAAAGTTAGTCTGATAATCCTAAATTCTCCATTTCCGATAAGTGTAATTAAAACTTACAGTCCACATTTTTTGTTTAAGTGCAAACAAAATAGATACCAATGTTACTTTGCAGGCTGAGTATCCTTATTAAAGTGCTTGCAACCAGAAGTGTTTTGAATTTCAGATTTTTTCATATTTTGGAATACTTGCATATACATAATGAGATATCTTGCGGATGGGTCCCAAATCTAAACATTTATAAAATCCATCTGTGTTTCATATATACCTTAGCCAGAAGGTAATTTTATACAATACATGTTTTAGTGCACCAGGTTTTTGACTATGACTTGTCATAAGAGGTTAAGTGTGGAATTTTCTACCCGCAGCATCAAAAAGTTTCCATTTTTAAAGCATTTCAGATTTTCAGATTACAGATACTCAACCTGTACTATGCATGTTCATTAAAACTACTTTTCTTTTATATTTGTTTAGAATATATGAATCACCACTTACAAGCATGACACCAGGATTTCTAAGAGAGTCATGACCTTGGAGATTACAAACCTCCCTTCCTCACCCTTGGGTACACATTGGAATTGCCAGAAGAGCCTTCAAAAACACCAATTCCTTAGCCCTAGAAGAGCTTCACAGTGGGCTGTGGTATCACTACAATCCAAAAGCTCTCCAGGTGTGTCTAATGCACAGCCGCAGAACCAATGACTTCAAGGAAATTCTCGACTGGATCAATGGCCAAGAAAGGACCCTGGCTGACAGCAAGGCAATCACAATCTGAGGCAAAACCGAGGACAAAGATTACAACTCTAGTGCCCCGGAGAGCAAATGCATACACTGAGAGCCATGTGCATACACTGTGTAAACAAAGCACACAATGTATGCACCTTATTTTCAGACTGAGTGTGACAGCAGGACAAGCTAGGAAGCCCCAGCTGACGTTGCCAGGAGGGGAATCATAAGTAACAGACCTCACTTCATCTGATTAAATGACACAAATCAAGACTTCTATGTAAAATTATCCAATTTTTAAGTGCTGACTTAATTAAAAGTACAACATAATACAGGGCAAGTAAAACACATAAAGACAACATGGGTTCGGCCTTTAGGCTTCAGGTTATCACCACAGGTCTAAAGTGTTATTTCCTATCTACAAAAACCACATCACCATCGTTTCATTACCATCATCATCATCATAACCTTCACAACAACACTTTGAGCTCCTCCACGCTTGGTACGTGTTAATCACTAAGCTGAATTTTACAAGGATTCCCTCAACAAGCCTTTATCAACATTGGGGGGCAGTATCATTATTTTCCCCCTTAAACAACACCCATGCATGCCCAGATCACGTAGCCAATAAGTGGCGATGCCAGGATCCAAATGTTCTCAGGGTTTACACTTTAAATATTCTTTTAACAGCTAGGATTCCTTTCAATTGCATTTCCTAAGAAATAAAATGAAGTGATTATATTGAATAATGTCTCAGGACATTTTTAGTTCACAAGTTCAATGGCCCTAACCCCATAACATAGTTCTTAGATGTGTAAAGACATTGGTATTTACACACATCAGTCACGACTGCCCTAATAAGAATTACCTGATCAAAGAATTGCGTGAATGTTAATGAAATAATCTTTCTTAAAAGGTAGCACTGATATAAATGAATGTTTAATGTAATTTTTTATCTCCACTGTTGTAGCAAGTTTCCTTCTCCATCTTACCTTTTGAAAGATGAGTGAAAGTACTCAAAAATTCTTCATATGTTTGCTCATGAGAATTAACAAACTTATCCAAGACTTCTTCCATTAGTCGATCTTCATCCATTATCTCCAATCCCAGTACTTGGGCAGGCATTTCTATTCATGGGGCCACTTTATCTACAAGATAAAGAAAAACACGAGCTAGAGAGAATCATGCAGCATGAGACCCCCAGAAAAATATTTTGGGTGGGCAGTGGACAACTCAGAAGACCCAGAAAGGACAGGGCAAGACAGTTACTAAAGCAATGTACTCTTGTTCAACTACAGACAGAGTTTTACTCAAATCTCTGCTGCTGAATTGACAGTACCAGTTTTGGTTTTTGCTTTTGTTTCCTCATTACTACTTTCTTAATTCACAAGAATACTGTCACACAGGCTGGGGATTTAGCTCAGCGGCAAAAGCGCCTGCCTGGCAAGCGCAAGGTCGTGAGTTCGGTTCCCGGTACCAGAGAAAAACCAAAAAAAAAAAAAAAAAAAAGAATACTGTCACACAATTACACAATTAGAACTTCAACATCCAGGTAAGAGGAATTTTAAAGAGCACATCAACCAACCACTAGTGACAATAATAATATCCAGTGTTCATTAGTGACTTACTTAGCACTCATACCAGCTGCTGTTCCCAGCACATTAATGTTAATTATCAATGTTAATTATTATAACCCTCATTAACACAGAGCCAGTGGGTAGAAAAGTCAGTTCTAGGAGTCTGACTCCAGAACTCATGCCCCTAAACCATTCATTATGCTTCATTCTGTCCTGTGTGACCCACTCTCTTGCACTATGACTGACAAAAAGATGATTTGCCTGTGTTTTAACACATCTGGGACTGGAAACTCTGGACAGCCTTTACACAGCTCTACTAAAAACTTCTAAAACTGAGGCCAAATCTGTCTCCCTGTACCCTACTCCAACTGATCCTGAACCTGTGAGATTGCACTGAACAATTTCAATTCTTCTTATACCTGATATTCTTTCAACTAGTAGAGCCAAAAAATATGGTGAATGTTACTCTAAACGTGTACAATATTTTAAATTATTACAGTGAAAGACATTAGTCTCCCTCAAAATACTTCCCCTAACTTCAAGCACACTTATCCTATCATTTTTGCTGCTTTCTGAAGCAATTCTGGAAGTCTTCTTTTGTGAGTGTCTTTTCTTGCGCTACCCTGTCTGTCTGGATGTCCTGAACTGACTCAAAATGTTTACCTTGCATGGTCATTTTGACTTTGGAGAAGAGCCCCCATGGTGTCAGATCCGGTGAATGAGGTGGATGACAGCATCACATAATGTTTTCTGAACCTTCCTTTCTGCAGGACGATACTCAGCAGCAGCATTCACTATGTTTTTCATCACACTTCATAAAGACACTCACTGAAACACATTTCGTTTTTCAAAACCCAGCTTGGAGTTCAGGTTCCCTCTGAAGGCCTTACCCACCACCCCATCTCCCACCACTATAGGAAGAGTTGGCTGTGATTTCTCTGTGCTGCCTCTGGATTAAATGCGTACTACTACCCTTCAGGCTATTTGCAGAGTTGTGCACAAGGCTTTGTCCTTTACGCACTCAAAGCTTAGGAAGAGCAAGGTCCACATCTTTTCATCTCTGTACCCTAAACACTCGCCACTCAGGATGCAGCGGAGAGTGGTAGTCTATCAGCACTGGGCTAAAATTACTCATTTGAGAAGGTAAGAGAGTCAAATATTGCTAGAAGCTGACATATCACCTAGCTAAGCTTGGTGCTGACTTCACACGTGTCACTGTGTCTTGGTTACTTTTCTCGTTGCTGAGATAAAATACCCAACACCCAAAGCTAAAGGAAGAAAGATTTATTTAGCTCACAGTTTGTAAAGGTTTCAGTCCTTTGGCTGGCTCCAAGGCCAGTGCATGGCAGACAGACACCCCAATGGAGAAACAGCACATGGCAGACAGAAGGTAACAAAGCAATAAGGCACAATCACAGCTCTTTCTATCCCTTATATTTTACCCAGGGTGATATATTACCACCCTTAATCCAAGTGCCCTTGATCCTAGCATTATACCATGAATCAATTCCAGCATCACACTCTAGATCCAGCCACCTCTGAAAGTGTCCCACCTATGACCATAGGAGGCTTTGGAAGGACATCCAAACACAAGCCATAGCACACTATCGCATGATTTCAAATCCCTCAACCTCCCAGCCAGTCTACCTAGAAAAGATTTCACATTGCTTGCATCCCTTTAAAATATGGCATCCAAAATTGGAGACATGATTCCAGCCATGGTCTGGATACAGTGAGATTTGACTGCCTGACACCTTCTAAATACCATACTTGTGGGATAGAGCTGAAGACCACATTCATATTGCTGGTGGCCCTTTCACACTGTCAGTTTGCTCGGCACGCTGCTAACTAACCGCTTGTCAGCCGAGACATGACTCCTCAACCCTTGCACAGCTTGAACTTTATATTGCACGGGTGGTATTTCATCTTGCTAAGCTCCACTCATTCAGTATGAAATGCTATTCTTATGCACCTTTGAGAAAATTGGCTATCTACAGAGAACAGAAGAATAATTACACTGCCCAAGTAGCCAGTGTAATACACGAATGACAATGTAAAGAAGGGCTTCCATGTACTGGATGGCAGCAACAGAGGGCACCACGCTTTTTAATTTTCTGAAGCAACATTAAAAATTTATACCTGTTATTATCTTTTTCCTCCCACTTCTCCTTTACACATATATTCACCATTTTAAAATACCAATAACACAGATGTGTATATGGTAAAGACATTCTTAATTATCACGATCCTACGTATCCTACCCATCAGACTTACATTCTGCCAGAATCTCATGAATATATTTCTAAATCATTCTCTAGAATGTTTATATACAGTGATAGAAGATTTTCCCAAAAATGATACAATATTATATGTGTTACTTTTTACAAATGAATTCTTCTGGTGCTAGAGCCTGAGTCGCTTTTTCATTTAATGAGCTCTCATAAAAATATCACCACTTCAGCATGCATAGATCTAACTATTCTTTCAAACGTCTGTATGGTCACAGCCCCTGCACTGACTCTTACTGCATAGCAAGGGACAAGTTTCTTGACTTCTCTGGACCTCAGTTGCCTCACCTCTATAAAAAAGGATCATAATAGCACAGTTTTCTATCTCCTTAACCTCAATTTCAAAAGACCAAAAAGCTGAGAAAAGAAAAAAAAAAGTGTTTTCTTAAGAGGAAGCTCAAACTCACTTGGTGGCCAGCCCTGATCTGAATTAACTTAAGAGTATTTATGGTATGTATTTATTCAGTGTAACTATTCACATCTCCCCGCAGGAATATTAATGGCCTTGCAGATGAGGTGCTTCCCAGCACCCCACTGGAGAGCAGTACATCACATGGCATATGCACTAATTACCTTGCTAGACTTCAAAAACATTGTGGATTCTGGAACACAGCTGAACCCAGGGATTTTAAGTAAGTAACTGTGAAACTACATGCACCTCGCAAAAACGTTATAAGGATTAGGCAAGTATGTGCTTTAAGAAATGTTAGCAATGGTGATGATGATGCTGAATCATTCTTAGTATTCCGTCCTTTGTCTGCCCAAAGATTTCTTATGATTACAACCATTCTCACTTTGAATGCATACAGACCCAAGATAAATCAATGCAAGATAAAACATGGGTGTCATAATAGATTGAGTGAAAATGAAAAGTCTATCTAGTACTATCTTCAAGAGAAAGAAACTGTTTCAAGCTATTTATACCTGAAAAATTAGATATACGAAAAACCCATCAGTTACAGTTTATGCAAATTTATCTGTAACAATGGCAGGCTTCAGAAATGCAAAGCTTACTAAGTTATGCTTGCAGATAAATATCAATAAATCACCTCAAAGGTGGCAATTATTTTACTATCAGTAAGACATGTAATTACTTATAAAAATTTCAACATCAATCTACTTTTCCAGCATCAGAGCCTAGCAAAATTCCAACAGTGCATAATATCATTCTTTTCTTCAAACCATCTCTAGCATCTACTTCAGGGAATAAATACCAAACAGAAGCAGTCAGGCTATGCTGTGTATTGCTGTAAATGTCTTCTCAGCATGTTAAGAGTGATAATAGGAATTCCTTTAAATTTTCTTCTCCATCCTCAAATTGGCATATTTTGAATATTTACTCCCAACATATCTCAGTAATACCAAGGGCAAATAATTAACAGGCTGTTTGCTATTAAACTTAAAGGTTTTTAATTTGATGTGTAGGGTAAGTACACAGTTTTATTATTTTAAAGATTTTTAGGATACCTATCTTCACACCTCTTATTAAACAGATTAACAAATACCAATCTCCAAATTTAGAACTTTCTTTATCTATAATAACATAAATAACTTAATGCTAAAGGTCTCCCGGGACTGACAAAGCAGAAAATCTCTTACCAGACAGGCCAGTGGTTTATGCAAATCCTAGTGGTTTTCTAGAAGGAAGCAATGCTTTTTCAGTTACCATTCACATACTTTTGTGTTTTCATCGTGAAATAGTTTTCTAAGAGGAAAGCGAGAGAGAGACATTTGCCTAGATAACAAGACACATTATCTAGGTTTGGTTTTCATGTCTTAAGGCTTTGAGCCCCACATGAAAGACTCAGAGCGTACTGTGATAACAGGTAAGTGTATATAAATATCTACCAGGACATCACAAGCAACACTTTGAGTCACAGCCCCCCAGAAGGAAACGTGGGGAGTATGCAGGCATGTGTGTGGATGACTGAACTCCACCCGGAGACCAGCAGCCTGGTCAGTAACCTGTTTCTCTTAAAAAGTCACTGAGAGATGAGAAGAAAAGTCACATAACCTCCCAGAAATCCTGTTTTCCATAATGAAAGAATGAAAACAATAACAATCTAAGCTAATTAATGTTGTATATTCTCTGAACATAACACCATTCTGAAATAGGGTATGTAACATTCTCGCAACTGCCTTAGCACATCTTTGATGTTGATCTTCAAGACCAGGCTTCATCAAGTTATGCAAGCAAAATACAACTTTCAGAGACAACCATGGCAAGCTTTAGAGAAGTCAGTCATTAAATGAGTCTTCTCAACTAGGTCTAGAGGTCCCATT